AATGGAGGGCAACTTTTCTAACCAGATTATCTTTTCAGACCGAAGACCTGGGAACTGGGGAAGAGTTTGGAAAGAGGGAAAGGCAAGGAAAGAGCGAGCTTTAAACTGAAAGAATAATTTCCCAACAGGAGCTTGGGCTCAATGACTGCAGAGACTGTCCCCTCCAATCTTTGCAGGTGGGCATGGAACACTGCTTGTATCAATCTGTGTCCCCTATAAACCCATGTATACAGAAACACACACATCCATCCATCCATCAGTATATGCGTGGTTTGGGATGAGCAGGTCAATAGTTTTGAGAGGGAGTTTGTTCCTTTTTTTTTTTCCTCATTATACTCTTAAAATTGTTGTCAGTTATCAAACAAACAAAAAATTGTTTTGAAAAACCTTGCATACGCCTTTTCTATCAAGTGCTTTAAAATATAGACTAAATACACACATCCTGCCAGTTTTTCTTACAGTGACAGTATCCTTACCTGCCATTTAATATTAGCCTCGTATTTTTCTCACGTATATTTACCTGTGACTTGTATTTGTTATTTAAACAGGAAAAAAAAAACATTCAAAAAAAGAAAAATTAACTGTAGCGCTTCATTATACTATTATATTATTATTATTATTGTGACATTTTGGAATACTGTGAAGTTTTATCTCTTGCATATACTTTATACGGAAGTATTACGCCTTAAAAATACGAAAATAAATTTTACAAGGTTTCTGTTTTGTGTGGAAGAGTAATTGATGTTGCTAAGAATGATGTTTGTTTTTTGGGGTTTTTGTTGTTTTTTTTTAAATGTTACCAGCACTTTTTTTGTAAGTTTCACTTTCCGAGGTATTGTACAAGTTCACACTGTTTGTGAAGTTTGAATATGAAGGAATAATTAAAAAAAAAAATCTTCTCTGGGTTTTGTATTGCGTCTTCTTTACATTGTGGCAAGGCTTCTGTTCCAGAATGTCTTTCACATTCTCTCATACCCTGTGATCAAGGTCTAGGTGGAGAGATCCAAATTAAGGATTATACTTTAAAGGCCAGAGAAATTCTCAACACATCAGCCCTCTTGATACAAGACATAAGAATCCCAGAATTGCTGATATTGAAATCACTTCAGGATATATAAGGCAAATTTGGGCCTTTTTCTCCCCCTGCCCAAAACTCACATGTGATCCTATGGCTCATTTACTACCGTCTAAATTGATTCACTTCTTTTTTTCTCCTTCCCATGTGCAAATCAGTATCTATTTGCCTCCTGTGGAAATAATCATGTGACACTACACCCTTCTACCCTTGTATCCAAGGAAAGCTCACGGCTCAAAATATGTCCCCATTTGATGACTTTGGGGAACCCCCAAGAGGTTCCTATCTGCCCCATAGTCCTTTTCTCATATGCAGCCCTACCCAAAAAAGCTATCTAACCTCATGATCCTCACAGAAATTACTGGCAAGATAGAGAAAACATACATCTTATTTGTCCCTAGGGCAGTCAACTCGACTGAAGTAAATTCACCAAGTCTTCAGTAGGCACCTATATTCACTCAACATTGTGCAGTTTGTGAAGGGAATGAAGAAAACTACTTTACGCTGGTAAGCCTTGAAATCTAACAACTAGGAATAAAGATTCCTGTAAGATCAAAAGCTAGGTGGTTCTATTCAGACTGTCAGTGCCACGGAAGTTCATAAACTAACAGAAAGATACACAGATAGGGTTTGTCAGAGAAGGGTCCAAGGAATAAGCAGTTGAGTTTGGGGACTCCCAAAGATTTGCAGACCTTGGGTGGGAGGAGGTGAGTGTGGAGGGACATTCCCGCCTGGGTGAGGAGCACAGATGCCTGGGCTGGGGCCTGGGAGATGGGGATAGTCTTAAGGAGAACTCTGGGCTGAAAGGTGACCTCCGTGAATTTAAATAATTGACTTCTTGCAACTCAGTTATTGAGCCCCTAAGTTCTCCCGATATTCTAGGAAGTAGAAAATTTTAAAAAAGCAAACATTTCATGATGCGAGGTTTGCCTGTATCTGATTTTTGTGAACCCGAACAGCATCTTGATGGATCATTTATTTTAATGATTTAAAATAACAATTTCATTTGTTGGATGATGCTTTGCTGCTCACAAGGTAGGGTGGACCGGCTGCTGCGGCCCACATCCTTCTGCGGACGGCATCCCTATAGTGTGTGCAAAGTAAAGACAACTCTCCTTCCACTTTCCTACTGTTTCAGCTACCACAAAATCTTCGACTCTTCCACCCTCCTGAAGCAAATGAATCATCTGTGGGTCTTGAGATCAACTTAATAGTAAACACAAATATGGAGACTGAAGGCAATGACAATACCCTGTTTTTAAAAAGTCATCACTGTCTAGGATAAGTTTGACTGCTTAAAAATTTATCGCACTTCAAACACAAAATTTTAAAATATAGGTACCTCAGATACCTTTTGGGAAGAGTCTGAAATAAACAAATGCACAGCCTGCTTTTGGCCTCCTGCTTTGTTTTGATCATAGGAAGAACACAGGGGGGGAGAAAAAAGGAAGACAGAGGAGAACAGAAGAGGACTGCCATGTTTATTCCTGATGGTAGCCCTTTCAAATGCACAGCATCTGTAGACCCATCCAATGGGTTGTAAACATACCTCTTCTGCGTTTTCTCCATATGCAAGGGAATTACTAGAATTGTTATGTCTAATATAGTAGTCATGTCATGTCATGTCATGCCTGTCCAGCTCAGCACTGATGGGATCTGTAGAAACCTGAGTATGTGATGATGCATCTCCAAGAACCCACAGGTGAGAAGGAACGAGCAAAATTAAAATTGCACAGGAAGACCCTGTCTACTCATGAAGATCATCTATCTCAAAGCTCCATGACTCAAAATTTATCATATTTGTTCAAGGTAATTCTCTGCATTATAGACTAGATTCTATATGCTCAAAAGATTGAGAATCGGTATATTTATTCCTCCCCAAACTCCCACTCATTAATTCATTTATTCTCCCCTTCCGAGAGAGCTTGGGATCACTCCCTATGTGCACTTAACACTCTCCCACCTCCATCTCCCCCGTAATCCTTTCCTACGTGTTTTTCACAACGTGTTTTCAAAACACGTTTTTCCTACGTGTTTTCAAAAGGAAAATCCTTTCCTACGTGTTTTCCCTCCATAGTAAGAGGGAAAAACCTCCTCAAACCCTATTATGGATCAGAAAAAAAGAGAAAGACCACCAGTCAGAGACACCTGTCCCTGGTGTCTGCTTGGCTTGGGTTTAGGGTCTAATGAAGCATGGTCCAAAAAAAATGTAACAGGAGCCACATATGCAATTTTAGATTTTTCCAGTAGCCATAGGAACAAAGTAAAAAGAAATTGATGAAATTAATTTTAATAACATTTTATTGAGTCCAGTGTATCCCAAATACTATCATTTTAACATGTTATCAATATCTTTAAATTACTAACATCATAGTTTACATTCTTATTATTCACAATAAGTCTTCAAAATCTGGTAGGTATGTTACACTTATAGTACAGTACATCTTAATACAGACTAACCACATCTCACACACTAGACAGCTACCCGTGGAGGATGGCTGCAAAGGATGGGTCTCCAGGAACCTGGCTTTTAGGGGGCGGTCTTCTCTGGTTCTCCATGGAAAATCCAGTTCAGTGAATTCCACTTGAAAATTAATTTTCTGTCTAATTCAATCTCATTTTAGGAACCTGACCCATTTATAACATCCATGGGTCCTTTTGTACTTTTATCACCATCTAAATGGTATTTGTAGGTATTTCCCAGTTACTGTCACCACGTTAAATAACACTCTCAGTCTAGCCTTGACCCAGTAGACATCTCCTCCCAATCAAACTGCCTCTCTCTTTTTATCTACATTTTCGCTCATCTCCAGTCCATGAATTGTGTTCTACTCGCAAGCAGTTTGCACTAGTTCTGCAAGGAGTGTGGTGAACCGCCGTGGTGCTAACAGCATGTTATACACATCCATCTCTCTTCCAAAGGACTTAGCCCTCGGGACAGATTTCGACTCATGACTCCTAACCACACACCTATTTGGTAGAGAAGTGAGAAAAATAAAAATCAAAATCCAAGGAGTAGGAGTTGAAATGTCTTCTGGCTCAGCCTGCCTGATTCTTAGGGAGCAGAACGGTGCTTGATTCCAGCCCTGGCCAATGACAGCCTCGCTTCACTTCCTCGCTCAGTTAAGAAAACCTGTCCCATGTGAGCTCGGCCTCCGTCCTCGCTCCTGGAGGAGATGTGGTGGCGTGATGCAGACCGGGATGCCAGTTAAAGGGAAACCAGGGCTGAGATGCCACCCAAACCCCAGCACGAAGAGCTCAGGGGGTGGATTAAAGGGTTTAAGGCTTTTAAGGGTTTAGGTTCAGATTTACGGGTTCAGAATATCTGGGGAGAGGGTGTTCATCTTTAAGCACCCGATCACCCGCTTTTTATTCCCTCCCCCTGGAAGAGTCCCTATTTTAAAAATCCATGTTTTCCTTTTGGTGGGACACAGATTCTTTCCTCCTGGAAAGAATCCACTCCATAGTGGATTGATAGGGGAAAGGTGGTGGGTCCTGGCCAAGGACTAGGCTGCAGCTCCCACAGTGGAGGCCGTGCTGCCGCACACATCCCTGGCAGGCATCTGGAAGGCCTCGGGTCCCCTGCTGCCAGCCATCCCCGGACTCCGAGAACAGCCAGCAGAAGGAGACTTCAACTATCTGCCCGAGGAATAAAATCCAAAAAAGGCCTGTGCGCTCCCTTGGTGCTGGGATCCTCCATGTGGGAATTTCAGCCGTTCTGTTCAGTTTCTCGGCTCACCTTAGACAAAATTCCTGCTCTCGCCATGCTAGCCTCACTGTTCCCTCCATCCTCCCAGGCCACTTCACCCCAGATAAGCCTATCCTGACCACCACAGCCTGCACCAGCATTTCTTCCCAAAGGTCTGGGCCTCATACCCCTGTCTTCTTACTACTTTTAAGGGAAATGTCATTACCCCCATGTAAGATCTAAAAGGGCTGAGATCCAAAAGCGTGGTTTAATCATGCTCGAACCTCCCCATGAAAGCCGATACCATGCCTTGTTCTTAAAATGCCTTGAATGTGTGAGTGTTGATGGAAATGACCATGAGAAATGAGATGAGTCATACCGTCGTCCTCTTCATCACCATCACCATCCAGAAGACTCTGCCAGTGCCCAGACCACTAAAACCCCATCCAGGGCTACTGGGGGAAGGCATTTCTCAGAGCCCCAGGGTTGGCTCCACCTGCTAGATTCCAAACCAAGTCATTCTTGTTTAACTTTGCACTCAGAATCGAGATACAAGCTGCTCCCTCTGGCTCTGCCACAATGGAAGAGAAGGGAAGGGGCAGAGGAAATGCAGAGAAGAGGATGACACTCATTGACTCAACTACACCTCCACTCGCGTGCATGCAGGGCAGCGACTGAGACCGCAGACCCACCAGCACCCCCACTCCCGGAACCGCGGACACAGGAATGCATCTCCCAGATGATGCCGCTGGCCACTAAACAGTCTCGGCCAGGAACCCGAAGCTTCCAAGGCTCCTGTAACTCAGGACATTGAAGTAGTCATGCGGCTCGGCACAGGCATCTCCCCTCTGCTCCAGGTAGCAGCCCACAGGTGCCGTCCCTGCCTCGCTGCCACTTCCAGGGGACGACAGAATGCGGGCATTCCATTCCTCCTGTTCATGTACCACTGTCCTGAGGCCACTTTCCGCACAATGGACTGGACGAGATTTCTTCTAAAAGCAAACGAACTACTAAGTGAAGATGTGGGGACATTATTCAGCAGTTACTCCCCGACATAATACATGGTTACAGTGATCCCTCTCTTCCCTTCTTACACACTCAATCACACACACATGCACACACACGCAAGGCTGTGCTCTTACCAACACCAATCCCCTAACCCTTCATTGCTCAGCCTCACACAGCTGGATTTCAGGACTAACCACTCCAGTGAGCCTACACTTGCTCCCCATGCAATGAGCCCTGCACCCCATGACTATATACTACTCAGTAAGCCCAGTAAACCCCTTTCTGCCTCACCTCTCTTGCTCTCTTTACTGCATCTGACACTGTGGACTTCTGCCTTTTGGCAGTGCTCTCCTTCGCTGGCCCCCATGGGATCAGTCTCTCAGTTCTCCTCTTCCTATGAACCCCCACCTTCCCCTCCAGCCAGGACTGCTTTTTTTCTGCTCCCACATGAGCTCCCCAAATAAAGGGGTTCCCCAGAGCTCTGCCCTGTTCCCTCATACTCAACACTCTCTGAGTCACTTCACCCATATGTCCCTCTGCCCCCTGAAGAGTCCCAGATCTCTACCCAAACCAGCACCGCAAACTTCTGCCCTGAGCTCCAGACCTAGGCAGTCACAGCAAGCCCAGACTCATCGTGTCTCAAGTGAGAGCATCATGTTCCCTCCCCCACAAACTGCTGCTGTGCCTGCATTCTCTGTCCTGGTTCATGGCACTGGGTGACCAGAAACCTGAAGCCCAAAGTTAAACTCTGTCCTGACATAAAATCCCATCCAGTGTTACTCCTGAAATACTCTAATTTTACTCGCTCTAAAATAATTTCCCTCTTTACTGTTCCTACCCCCATGTCTTATCTGCCCCCATGCTTCTACAGCTGCCTGCCTCTGGACACCCTCTTCTTCTGCTCTTTCACAAGGTCACTCACACAGCAATAGCTCAGAACTAGGAGTTGGATCCCGCCAGCCTTCTGCTTCAAGCCCTGTGATGGCTCCCCTTCCACCAAAGGGAGCTTCATCTCCTACAGGAGCCACAGGTGAATGTCAAGGGGTTTGTAAAATCCCACAAGTCAGTCCATAAGTTCACTGCATTCCCCACAGGAGACTGTGTGTGATGCCCCCCAAAACACCTTTTGTGATTTGGTCACACTCACCTTTCCAGCTGCATCTCCTGAAATGCTCCCCCATCCAACACCCCAACTTCTGGTAGAGGGCCCAGGTGCCAGAGGGATACCATTTACTGAGAAGCTGTCACGAGCATGCACTAGTTAGCCCCTTTATGTAATCTTTGCAACAACCTTGTTGAAGTTTCTACTTTTAAATGAGCTAATAGGCGCCAACAGGTGAAGCCAATTGCCCCAGACCCAGTTCTGACTTGCAGCCAGGCCAGGCTCTTTCTCCTCAGCCAGACTGCCTCTAGTCCTATGGCTTCTGGAAGGCCATGCACTGTTTCCCACCTCCCCAGTTCTGTATGTACTACTCCCACTGTCCATTCCTCATAAATCCCTAAAATGTCATTTATTCTTTCCTTCAGACTCAGCTCCATAGCACCTTGTCCAGGAAGTCTTGTCTGACCCCTCTGGGAGACTGACATTCTTCCTGGATGCTAGAATATGTTCTTGAACATTCTCTGTTGTAATATGCAATGCTGTCTAGAACTTACTCTTACCCCTCTCTCCTCTTCAGGCCCCAAACTGTGAGCTCCCTGAGGGTAGGATCTGTGCTGTATTCCTCTTTGTAACCTCACAGCCCATCACAGACATTCAATGTGTGTCTTAGGACTGAAATGTGTGTGTGTATACTCACATGTGTGTGCATATACACACACACATGCACATGCACACATTCTTCCTCAGCCCCGTACCTCAAAGAACAGGATTTCCAAACCCATGGAAGGACTTGCGGTCAGATAACTACAATTGCTCTTATGGGAAAATAGGTCAGACAGCAAAATCTGTTTGGGAAAATAAAGGGAATGAAATCAGCCGTTACCCCCATAGGAGACCATCGCAGAGGAATGTTGTGCTAAGCCAAGGAAATCAAAGACCAGTAGGTACAAGCAGGATGGCAGAAGAAATGCCTAATGACACCCAACGCAAAGGTGACACACTCTCGGTCTTACTGGAGACCGCTCTCAATGTGGCACTCACCCCCACCATAGGTCTCGATGACAGAATACCCAAAAGCCACACGTGGGCTTGGAAAAATCACAGCAAGCACAAACCAAATCTCATTCTTCCCACCGCCCCACCTTCCCCATTGCTTCCCAGAATAGGATACATCATCATTGCTGACTAGTGTCCAGCTCAGCAGTGCATGAGATAAGCTAACAGGAAGCGTGGGTGGGCCTCATGAACTCACATCATGAACAAATACCAAAACTTAGGGCTGGCACCATCCTTCAGGCCCTGAGAAACCAGGCCTAGAGAGAGACCATGGTCTCAAAACCACAGGCAGGAGTCAGGGGGTCTCTCTCCACTCACTGATTCGTTCATTCCTTTTCGCTACTATGGCAGGTTCCTTCCCGGACGTGTGAGGAATAATCGTGGTCATCATGGGTCGTGCTGCTGCTGGACTTAAAAGAGGACCACATCCCTTGATGTGGCCCAATCCATTTAAAGAATATAAATACCCAATTCCTTCCCAAAGAACTGATTGTGACCTTTGGTGCTGGTATGCTCTCATTTCCATTCTTAGGTGGGCCACCCTCGCCCTGGGATCTTAAAACCATTTTGGCATCCAGGGTCTTCTGGGAAATGTAAACAGTCCTGAGAGGGTCTCTCAGCTCTTTGGTTTTCATTTCCTCCCATGCAGGGAACTCTGTGATTGTCAGTATAAAACACAAGCCTGGGGCTGAGGTTGTCCTAAAGGACCAAAGGGAGCTACGGAGATTGCAGCTGGGTCCTTGGAGAATAAACATCGCCCCCACTCCCGGAGAATGTGAGGAGGAAGGATGCCTGGCAGTCATTGTGATGGAAGGGGACACACCCATTTCTCCTTTCCCTCACAGGAGGTCCCCTAGAGGAACTTTTTCCAATAGCTGCTTAGCAAAAATATGCATTTATTTCGTTGTTATCAATCTATACAGTATCAATATTTTGGAGTACCAAGTATTATGAAGTGCTTTGGTAAACAAAATTTGTAATAATTACAAGAACTTCACAACTAATACTTATTGCTACATGCCAGGAAAAATGCCAAATGCCTTACATGAATTATTTGACTTGAGTTTTCCCACAACCCTATGTAGGCAGCATCATAATTATACGCATTTTCCAGACCCTACCACAGCAACTCATGTAGGAGAGCCAGGATCCGAAGCTATGTCTGTCTGATTCCCAAGTCCATGCTCCTAAATAATGCAATCAACAGGCTGTTGGTACCCTGCTCAGATCCTCCCTACCTGACCAGTGCTCCCATGCCCCAGACCCTGGGACTACAGATGGTGGGTGGCTCACAGCCACTCCTTCTCCGGAGAATGGCTCTTGGACCCTCTCTGGTGAGCAGCCAGTGGTCAGTGATGACTGAGGTGAGTGTTCAAAGAGTCAGCTCCCTGCCTCAAGGTCCAACCAACTCTGAGTACAATTCTTACAGCAACCAAGTCTCCAGCTGAGACCACATCAAGCTGGGCTTTCTTCCCTCAGCCCTGTCCTGCTTCCTTTACTACCCTTCACGTGAGAGTCCATCCCAATAAATCACTGTCACCAGAATTCACATGTCAGGCTCTATTTCTGGGGACTGGGTCTAACACAATTGCTCCTGGCAATGGACCTAGAAACAGACACAGGATGGGAGTGTGGAGAGGAACACCTCCCCAGCTAGATAGGAATACGAACCCCAGCACTGGCTGTGAGATGGGATGGGACACTGATGGAAGGGAATTCTGAGCTGATGCCACATCTTTGACATTTGAGAAGTATGGGAAAAGAGTGATTATTAGAACTGTGGGATTGAGTAGCTTTTACTCAATTCCCCCTGATATACTGAGGAGAGAACATGAAAGGCTTAGATCTGTCAACACCTGGAAGCAGCAACACTTGACAGCCTTTCAAGAAACACCCATCTCCAGCACTGAAGAACAGGCACAGGACCTAACTGTAAAAGAGATAGAACTTCCAAACAGGTTGGATTCTAAGCTTGGGCAAGTCTCCTGTGTCTAAAAAAGGAACGATCACTATGACCTGGGAGGAGGCTCCCTGGGTAGATGCACTGGAGAACCACCTGCTTCCGTTGTATCATCTGGAGCTGCAAAAATGGCCCACATTCTCTTGATGGAAGTTAGGGCCCCATTAGCACCTGTCTCCATCTGCCCTATAGGCCATTGGCCCCATATTTAAGGCAAGACCACAGCCTGCCCTAGCTGAGGAAATGTTGAGAATGCTGAGGGAGGAGAGAGGTTGTGCCTAAAGGATGTGGCTAACATGTACTGGCAACGATGGGGGAACATGACTGGGAGTGAATCCTGAGAGTGAAAGTCTGGGCTGGGGCAAGTAGACTATGATATCAGACTGAAGGTAACTTGTCAATATTGGGACCCATCTCATGACTTAAGATGTAACACCCTCACAAGGGCCCCAGAAGAGAAGGCTGATACACTGCTGTCAAGAGGGAAGTTAACACTGCTTTGGCAATCTATGGAAAAAAAAAAAAAAAACACACAAAATGCTCAGAGAAGTGGGGATGCTATCATAAACGTATGTGAAACCATAAAGAATATGCATATATATGTCTCTCCCTCAGTTTCTACTAATGTTTGTCTTTAACCCTGGTTCCTGACACCATGCTCCTTAAACCCTTATAATTTCCTGAATGATAAGAATGTCTTACACAGGGCTCCTAAAGTTCTTGGAATCTCCTGGTGATAGGAGTGTCTTTTGTTCCAATGAGGCAGCGTTGGGTGGGCTCCTGGATGGAGGCCGGTGGCCAGAAAGACCAAGCCATGATTTGAAACTTAGAACTCTCAGCCTCACCCCATCCCCTTTCTCCAGAGAGAGGAGAGAGGCTGAAAAATGAGTTCATAATCAATCATCCTTAAGCGATGATGTCTCCAGAAACATCCTTCCCAAATATGGGGTTCAAATAGCTTCCAGATTGCTAAAAACATCCACATGCCAGGAAGGTAGCACACCCCCAACTCTCCAGGGACAGAAGTTCCTGTGCTTCAGACCCTTCTAGACCTCATCCTGCCATACCTCCTTCATCTGGCTGTTCATCTGTATCCTTTATCGTCTTCTGTGTTATATAATAAACCAGCAAATGTAAGTAAGGGTTCCTCTGAGTTCTCTGAGCTGTCAGCAACTTATCAAACCCAAGGAGGGGGGCTGTAGGAACTTCAATTTATAGCCGGTCAGTCAGAAGTACAGGTGACAATCTGGGACTTGCAGCTGGTGTCTGAAGGGAGGGCGATCTTGTAGGACGAGTCCTTAATTTGTGGGTTCTGATGTTGATTCCAAGTAGATAGTGTCAGAACTGAATTGATTGTAGGACACCCAGATGGTGTAGAAGAATTGGTCAGTGTGGGAATAAACCCACCCATCTGGTGTTTAGAAGTGTTCTGTGCAGTGTTAAGAGTAGAGAAGAGGAAAAAAACAGAGTTTTCCCCAATATAACCTACTAAATCGGGGACTGGCAAACTAAGGCCCATGGCTCAAATCTGGCCCACCACAGATTTTTGTACTGCCCGTGAGCTAAAAAGGATTTTTCTATTTTTAAGTGGTTGAAAACAAATTCAAAAGAAGAATAATATTTCATGACACATGAAAATTATATGAAATTCAAATTTCAGTGTTTATAAATAAAAGTTTGTTGGAACCCAGCCATACTCATTCATTTGCATATTGTCTGTGGTGCTTTCATGCTACAGTGGCATAGTTGAACTGTTGCAACAGAGACCACATAGCCCACAAAGCCTGAAAGATTTACTACCTGGCCCTTTACAGAGAAACTTAGCCAATCCCTGTACTACATAATTTTGGAAAATCCAGTGGCTGGTTATGGTTCTAGGGAAGATCAAGAGGACAATCTTTCACAAAGGTGGAAAGGAATGTGCTAGTGAAGAGAGCCCCAGCATCATTAGGAGGCTCCGTGGTATCTGCTCTGTACGCTGGGGCTGAAGGCTCTCATAGAACGGGATCCCTGGTAGCAACACGGATGAGGAGACCCCAGAATAATACAGGGGCAGATGGCAGAGCTTAAGCTTATATTGACAAGGTCAATATAATTTCTGCAGTGGCAGCCAGAGAAGCTTGACCCACACGGATGTTAAGATGGGCTAACAAAGCAGTGTTCCTAAGAGAAATACAGATGGAAAACCAACAGGATGTTACTTATATACGTAATCAAGAGATCAAGAGTACATGAGAGAAGGCTGAGTTCAGTACCCCCTGGAAAGTCAAGACCTCTTGTCCAGTTTCCGGGTCTGTGAGCAGAACTGGTGTGGATACCATCTCTGTTAACCCCTAAGCTCCACTCTCCATCCAGCCTTCTGTTTTCTTCCATCCCGATTGTTTTGAGTTTCGTTTCAGCCAATACAGAGCAACAGTAGGGGAACGGAAGGAAGGAGAGTGAGATGAGGATTGTATGTATTTCCCTGGCATTCTCTCTGCCAGTGGTGGCCTTGGACTAGCTGTAGCCTTTCCTCAAAGCTACAGTACTTCTCAATGTGGTCCCATCCACAAATCTCTTTCCAGGTTCTAGTAATCATCCTCTCCCTAAAGATGAGGGGTGACACCAACATGTTGCTACACTTCCCCTCTTGGTTTCCTTATATGCTGCCCAGTCCTTTGTAAACATCTGTTTTAAGCTATCCTTAACCTACCCACCTTGAGAACATGATATGTTCCCTGCCATTTCTAAGTATATCAGTGTGCAGTTGCTGAAAATCAAAGGGAAAGGAAATTTTAAAAGAACCATAAGAAAAAGCCATATCTGCAAAGGAGCAAAAATAAGATTCACATAATTTCTCAACAGAAATATAAGAAGCCGGAGACGATGGGAAAATGTTCTCCATGTGCAGAAAGAAAACACTTGCCAGCATGGAAGTGTAGACCCAGCAAAGCAGATACATCACATTTAAGTTCAGGAAAAATAAAGATATTTTCAGACAAACAAAAACCAGGATAATTCATCACCTGCTCAGAAGGAGATACTGATTAGTATTCTCCAGGCAGAAGGAAAGTGATTCTAGTTACAAGATAGGAAATGCAGGGAGAAGTGAAGAGCAACAGAAAGGGCAAATCTAAGTGAAAATTGACTCTCAAGACTAATTTCTTTCAGGATTTAAAAGAAACTTAAAACTAAAATACACGGCGTTAATAGCAATAAGTTGGGAAGGAAGGTAAAAACAGTTAACGTGTCCTACGATTCTTACATAATCCAAGAAAGGATAAAGGCACTAATTTATACTAGACTTTAATAAGTCAGAAGTCTATTTTCTAATCTCAAGTGTAACCGCTAAAAAAAGCCTCATTACAAGGTAGATCTTTTTTTATAATAATAAGTACTTAATTCAAAGGACAGCAAGAAAGAATAGGGAAAAAACAGGCAAAACAAATATGAAGAAAACAAGGTGGTGGCCATAAACCCACTTATATCAGTAATACCAACAGCAAGTACATGGTCCAGAGAGAGCTAAGTCAGGGACGAAGATTGGGTTGTTAATTGAGCAGAACCTGTTGGGGGGGAAAGTGAATCGGGAAGTAGGGAGGAGGGTCTAGGATGAGGTGGAAAATAATGTAGGCAATCCCAGTCTTGCCCTCCCCAAAATGTTTGGTGACTGGAATTAAGGTGACCTGGGATGTGTTAAAAAATCCAAAAGGGCAGACCAAACAAGTGGTGGAAATGCTTTTCCCCAATCGGTGGCTACCCGTTAACAACACAAGCACATTAATACCTTCACAGGCAATGTGCCCCTTGTTCATCACAGCTCTGAGGTAGGGAGCAAGCAGAATGGCCAGCATCCCCGTGTTCCATCTGAGGAACGGGGGGCGGGGGAGATCCAGCATCTTGCCTGTAATCACACTCAGTGCTGCCCTTAGAAACTACCCCAGCCACTTCCCCATCCAGCACGCTTTTTGCCGCGTGACCTCTTCAGCTAGACAGAAAATTCACATACCTACTGATCTTGTCGTGTACCTTTTACTCCCAAATTTGGGGATTGTTTATTTCTCATCTTGCCGAAGTGCAGGGTAGCCCAGCAATAAGGAAAGGTTGCTAAAATTAAGTAAGCTAACGAACGCAACTCCCTAGCACAGGGTGGATGCCCCAGATGCATCAAACTCACGATAGATAAATCTGTCTCTCCAGGGAGTGGCTTCAGGGACAGGCAGGAGCTAGGAACTGTAGATGACAGCAAGATGGGAAGCATACAGGTCTAGCCTTTCTGGCCGGGGTTCCCAGACCAGAAAGGGGACAGAAGAAGAGCGTGAACAACTTGACTGAAAGGCAGAGCAAGGACCATCAAAAAGCATGAACAGCAGAGGAGACCACATCTTGGTCTTTCTGTGGACAGGACAGGGACATGAAAGGATGGTGAGGGGTGGGGGTGGGGGTGGGGGGTGCCCACGACCGAGATGTGCAGCTGGAGTCATTACCTTTTTGGTTAATGCGACCACCATGACGACTGCCACGCAGATGACTGCCAGTCCGGTGGCCGTGGCTCCCAGCAATGGGACCTGGAACGCAGCACTGTGCTCAGCCACTGGAGGGACGACAAAATGAAGATGAGGTGGTGAAAGGCAGAAGCAAAAGGCAACCATTACACAGGAAAATCTCTGTGTCAGGGCACAGAGGTGGGGGCTGGCCAGGCCTTTCTCTAAGTTCTGGGGTCTTTAAGCCCAGCTCTTGGACAGCAGAGCCGCGGCCTAGCCCGTCGAGCAATCAATGGCTGATCTCCCAAACAGTGGTACACCTCAACCCGTTTGACACCAGAGCAGACCACTGTGAACACTCTTTCCCTCCAGTCGATAAAATCGCTTTCTATAATGATCATGATCATGAAGTGAAACAAACAATAACATCCAGGAAAAAAAAGACCCAGACAGTGAACATTTTCTTTTATTAAATTTCATATTTATAATCCTACTTGAAAAAAGTTTAATTAAAAATTAAAATAAAATTAATATTGAAGTACAAAAAAGAGGGCAAAAAGCAAATAACCTTTCACGCACTAAGCCTATCACGTTATTCTAACCGGGAGACCCTGGCAGGAGTAAAGTTCCCGAGCTTTATCCTTTGCTTTTTCTCAGCACCCGGCACACAGCAGGTGCTTGGTAAATATTTGCAGTATGAACTAAAGCACGAACAAGTGAAGTTCTATTAAGATGTAAAATGTAAGGAGGAGAAGCAGAAAGGGAGTTATGAAGAGAAGTGGGATAATTGATCCAAGGAGAGTGTGAGAGAAACAGGACAGACGTGCAGATGTGAGCTACGCCGGCTGGTGGGAGGGTTTCCAGGATGCTGTGTCCCTTCCCCGTCACTTTCCAGGAGCTCAGACAGATCCCAGGTGTCCAGGGAAGCCTTGAAAGAAAGGAACAACAGAGGCTGGGCCCTCTTCCTTCTAACAAAGGGTTTACACTGTGGGAAAGGTGGCCAAAGAACACAGTCACTTTGGACAATCAGTGTTCACAGTACCCACAGGGCATGAGGGGGAGGGAGCCCCAGCACCCCAGAATGAGTTCCTCCTACCCTGCAGACTCAGCCTCTTGCTTTGGCCACAGGTTGGGGGAAGAAGGCAGAGAGCGAGCAAAGTGGTCATGGAGAACACAGCTTTGGGGGCAGAAGGGCTGGGGTAGGCTGTCCACAGTACCAGAAAGGATACAGGCTCTTCCCTGCATGCTGCCTTGAACTGTATCAGAGTCATCCAAGAAGTAGCGTTTGAAAAGAAACTTTCAAGTAGACTTGTATCTTCTCTGTCTACACATTTTTTGCTAAGTCATAAAACTTAATCTTCAGCACAACTGACAACAGCAGGTAGAAGTTCAGCAGGTATAGGTTAGTGAAACCAGATCACCTGTGTGAAAACCAGCCCTCCTACCCTGAGTAGAGCTCAGACTTCCCCTCCACCAGTCAGTCCCATGGGAGAGGCCGGCATTCAGAGCTAACACTTCGTTGGTGCCTACTGTGCCCCAGGCCCCGTTCAAGGGCATTTTCTTATAGTAAGGAATTCAATCCTACATCTGTTTTCATGTCACAGATGAGAAAACTGATACACAGAGAAGCTAAGTAATCTTGTCTGAGGTCAACAGCAGCACTAGGATTTGGACCCAGGCTGGCTGGGTCAGAGCCCGAGCTCGTAAGCACTCCGTTCCACTGTCTCTCAGAGGCAGTCATCTTTCCCCATGTTCCAGAGACCCGCTTTCAGTGTTCAGACGGATAGCGAATGTGAGAGCCTTCTGGAAACTATGAAGTACCACACAAACGTAAATTACCGTACATTACACTTAACACACACTGTGTTTTAATCCTCTATAAAACTTAGAAGCTAATTCTAATTTGCGTGATTGATGTTAAACTAATAAAGGAAAACCCTTCCCAAATGACCTTAATGATTGTTCTTCCCAACAAACACACATAAGGTGCACTTCTCACCCACAACAGGGGTTTTCGGTTCTGGCTGCACATGTAAGTCACCAGGCTTTCGGAACCGATCACCTCCCAACTTTCCCCCTTCGGATTCTGCTTCAGCTGGTCTGCAATGGGGCACCAGCGTCAGCATCATTAAAGCTCCCTGGCGATCTGCTTGTGAGCCGAGGTCGAGGGACCCTGCCCTTACAGAGTGCTTGGCAGGAACACATTTTCTATTCTGGAGGGTGAGGCTCATCAGCCCCCCCTGCTCCAGAGGGCATACCTGAGCGTTTCAGGACCTCCAGAAAGACTGTCCCTCTGTAAATCCCATCAGGGTAGGTGTGATAGGTGCAGAAGTATTCCCCTGTGTCATTCTGGGTCAGCGACTGCAGGGTGAGGCCCAGGTTGGGGCCTGGGGCCACTCGCTCCCTGAAGGCTGGGTAGATGTGCCACCCCAAGTGAGCATGACGAACGGCCAGTAGTTGGTCCCGCTGCTCCCAGTTGATCTGAGTCACTTTGGCAGTGGTGGAGGGGAGGTGGCATTGCAAGGTGACGGAGCCACCTTCCTCGGCAGAAACGTTCCCCATTGTTGTGATCCTGCCTGACACAGCTCCTGGGGAAGGGGAGAGAGCGTGTGTGGGTCCTGGGTCAACAGCTGTACTTGAAACTTCCCACAGAAATCCCAGAGGGCTTTGAGGCTAGAATTGGTTTTGGAAATGACAGACTCCCCTGTCCTTCCTGTCACTCCCCGCATAGACCATGATCGCTACACAGTGGAGTGCTTCCCCCACTAGGGATCGTCTGCTGTAATCTAGCTTCGTGATGAGCTCGTGGAGGATTTCCACAGCCTTATTTCATCTCCCTACCTCAAATACAAGCCTGGTCAGCCACTACCTCTGTTTTACTCTCTCTTTCAGCCTCCAGCTCTGTGCTGGGCACAGTATCCTTTGACATGAAACCTGGCTGTTTGGTTGACGGCCCTTTGGGGTGCCTGGAGAAACCTTCAGGAAAGCCACAAAATCCGAAGGAAAGGAGGATGGGAGAGAAACCGTTTCTCCCAGACAACACCACCCTCATCAGCACTGACCACCCCCAGCACCTTGGACACAGCTCCACCCTCAAATGGTTCAAAAAACAACATAAAAATTAAATTCTACTAGAGTTTCTCAGCATCTGTGCCCCCTCAGAAACACTTGTCTATGGTTTGAAATACAGAAGGAAACAGATCTAATGCAAATTCAATCTATAATGGTAGAATCTCTGGAGTCTGTGAAGAAGACATTTTTGAACCCCAGAAAACATACAACACTTTTCTAGAAGTTTCCTCAAGGACAGAAGACAGAACGATGGGGCAGGAGTGAACTTCTACGAGGGAACTGATCATCCCTCCTCCAGGTCCTTTTCTTTCCCCATTTCCTCTCTTGGGTTGGCCAGTCAGACACACCAACCCCAAGGACTTCATCTGCCACCCAAAACAGAACTGTGCCTCCTTCCCAGAGGCTGCCTTTTCTCATACGAGGGAACACAGGACTCTGAAAACCATGCATTTCTTTCCCTCGCTCCTACTTCCACTTCCACTCCCAGCCTCTCTTTCCTCCTCCTCTTCCTCCAGTTCCAAGCCACATTGTTAGGCCTTACCTGAGGCTGGGAGGGGAGCCTGCCTCAGGCCCTGGGCCCAGATCAGGAGAAGGTACCACCGCATGCTTCTGCTCAACGGGGGACCCACAGGAAGCAGCCTAGGCCTCTTCTGCCACGGAAACTGGCAGAATGCAGATGGCAGGCCAAAACTGAGCCTATGAGGAGAGAGGGTCTCGGAAAAACTGAGTTCAGCAAAAACAATGTCAGAGACTGAAAAAAAAAAAGAAAAAAGGCCCTCAACAAGTACACAAACTGCATAGGGCAAGCCACAAGAAAGACCATGAAGGAAACACACTAAAAAATAAACAAAAATGTGGTTAGAGGCCCACTGGTCTTTAGGTTACCACTATCTTTGGGTTATAGTCAAGCTACTGTTTTTAAGTTCTGTCTTAATGTCCCAGTTTTGTATCAGTCTTTGTCTTTATCAGGGGCTCAAGGGCTCTGTGTATCTGGGGAATGCCCGAGATTCTGAAGAAGCAGCAAATCCTGGCTTCATCCAACTAAGGAATGTGCACCCATAAGAGAAACCCGAGTCTGCACACTTACAGGACCTGTGCTTGAAATCTAATGAACCATGAACCAGAGGCACCTACTTCAGAGCCAAGATGTAGGCAGGACAAAAAGTCTTGGACACCAGGGCAACTTTCCTTTGAATGAAGTCCTCTTCTTGACTCGGATGTCTTCTGTCTTGTTTATCTGGACGGAGACTTTGTTGAACTCTGGCTTAGTTTCTCTAACCCAGTAACATCAGAGGAGACCAGATGAGTGAGTTTTCTTGAGACTGATGACCCCCACGAAAATCAGCAATGAAGAGAAGGGTGAGTCCCAGTTACCTGACCCTGGAAAGGGGTTGGCTGATGCTTGTCTGGAGTCCCCAGCTCATAATCAAGTCCTATCATTGACCCATCCTTCTTCCTTCCCACCCTCTGTCTGTTCCTGCGTTTATCTGAAAGTCCCGGGGGCCTACAAAACACCAGGCTCTGCACCAGGCTCTAGGGAGACGAGGGTGAATAATCATGGACCCTGCCTTGATGGTCAAAGCTTGCCCTCTAGTGAAGCTGCACTCTGGGGAAAGGAGGTGGAGGGTCTCTCTTCTCCTGCATCTAGGGCTTGTGTCTGTTACTCTGGGCATGTTTCTTTTGCTGCTCTACCAGGGGAATCTGCTCTTCTGCCCCTCCATTCCAGGCAAGCACCCTGAGCTTTCCCAGCTATCCAGGCTCTTGGCCTCCTCCTCCCCTCTCCCCTGCAGGATGCTCCATCTCACACCAGTTTCCTCTCCTCCCTGGGGTCTGCCCATTCCCAAATGGACATCATGACCGTGCACCTCCCACCAGGCCACCTCCAGCCTCTTAGACAACATATGCCTCATCGACCTCTCTCTGCCCTAATTCAACCTGTCTCTCAAGGCTCACATCAAGAGAATCTCCTCTACCTCCTTCCAGTAGTCACAGGGCCCACATTGGAGAAGCTGTCATACCTTATGTATGTCCCAGGGACGGTGCACAGCTTGAACAGGAAGAGTGTTTCCAAAACTGGCTGTCCAGGCAGTGGAGCCAGGGGTGGGAGAGCTGAGAGCAGTTAGTGGATATAGAGCACAAAGAGGGGGGCTCTGGGGTTTGGGCTATAACAAATTTTAGCCCACGTTACATCAGGTGGGTGAAAGGCACAAGGCAGGACCTGTCTTATATAACAGAAATCCCAAGAATCGTAGGCTAAGTTAAATAAAAAACGGTTAAAGAATTTCTCTATTTGTTTCCAAGCAATCAGTCTGAAGAGAAACATGGTCAACTACATTTTGATAAATGGTGCTTTCCAGAGATATTTGAGGGCGATGATTAATAGACTGAGGTGAAAAAAATGCATAGGTCCAAATTCAGTTTGGTTTGATGACCTTTAGAAAATTGCTCAATCTCCTTAAGCCTCAGTTTCCTCCTCTGTAAACAAGAACAATAGTGCCCACCCCTCGTCCCCACCTTGTAGGTTTATGAAGATTCAGGAAAAGATTTTGTTTGGTAAACTGTTTAATACAGCACCCGGAACATACGAAGGGTTCTCTACATCAGTAAGAGTATTGATAATAATATTAATTAAAGAAGTAAGAGGAAAGTGGGAGGAGACCATCCCTCTTCTACCTCTGTCATGCATTTGGGCGGGAATAAAGTCCTGGTCTCTGGATCCCAAGGCCAGGGCTTTCCCTAACCTCTTCCTTCTGTCATATGCAAACAATCTACGAATAGGAGGATAAAATACGCCTGCAGAGAGGTGGCCACTGTACCAGCCAGACTGTGAGAAGGCCTTGTTGGAATGTGAAGGACAGAAGAGTCCCTCCAGGAGCCTCCTCCCGGGACTCCACCTGGAAACATAGCCGGTACGGCCACTCACTAGGCAGCAGCCCCAGCCAGAGTGGAGCCGACCAGGGGTGAGAAACAGGTCTGAGCCAAGAGGTCCTAGGGCCACCCCAGTCCCCACAGCACAGCTCTGCAGCGCAGTGTGCACCTCTGTGGGCATTCCAGTGCTAACTCACGTCTCTACCCGAAAGTTCTAAAACCAGTCACTACATTTTTTCTCCCCTGACTTTGACAGTTGCGGGCTGGACAAGCTTGGTCAGCCCTGAGGCAGGTGTACAGGTGCTGAGTAAGGAACTCCATACGCATCTAAAGGGGGAGGAAGTGCTGGCCTAGAATGTAGAGCACGCCCTAGCCCACTGCCGTCCACACCTGCTCCAGCTAGAAGACTGTGGTCTGGCAGGATCACAGCACAGGGCACAGGGGGCTGACAGTGGTCCCACCTTCCATAAGGTCCGCCACTTGTACACCAGAAATGGGACCTGGGGTGCAGAACAGTCTCTCAGTGGTGTCTTTGAGCTTCAGCGTCTCCAGAGGTCTCCACCTTTTCCCTTCCCGCTCAGAAGTGTCGGAAAGCTCCAGGGATAGCACAGCTTTCCTCTCCCTCCCTTTCCCTGCCTCTAATCAAGTGCAACATCCTACAGAAGGGGGTACGTTTTCAGCCAAGTGCTCCCACTCTCTACCTCACAGACCAGCACCTCCTGGTGGTAAGCTGCACTGTGGATGGGATGTGGGCAGAGACCCCTGCCCCTTGCAGGTGTGCAGAGGCTGAGGAAGCAGGGACACAGGAAGCAGGGGAAAGATGGGGGCATGGACACTCAGGGCACCTGGAAGGGCCTACCCGCCTCCGCCATCTGCCATTGAAAAGCCACCTCACAGCAGAGCTACCTGAACAGTAGAGTGGTTGATCCAGAGCCCTCGTGGAGAGAGCTGCCTCAGAAAATCAAAGATTCAACATGAAAGGAATGTTTATGACCTCTGGATTTTTAATAAGTCCGCGAGCCCCAGGGCTTTTTGGCTCAGGACAAATGCAAATGAGGAGAGTTTGAGGGCGAGATTGCTGACCGTTAGTCTAAGCTCCCTCAGGTGAGGTGACTCTGAGGACCTCACCCACAGAGGCTGCCAAGGAGTTCAGTTAACGGTGGGAAATTTCCTTTGCCTTCTCAGCTGTGAAAATAGGACAGAGACCCCCCAGGAGAGGTTGGAATGCGGTGTCAGAAGAAAAATCTTTGGGAAGAAGCAGCTCATCTCTCCTCAGCTTGGGTCTTTCTGGCATCTAATTCACAGCCCACCCACCCACCGACATCACTCCCCTCTTGTCCCTGCTCCATCCTAGAGGTGATTATACTATCAATCCACCCCCAGGCTCCATCTGCCTTAAGAAAGGTATCCTCTACCCCTGGAGACCTACTTCCTACTTCCTGCTGCCTGGAGCCCTCAGCATCCCAGACAAGTAGGATGGGGAATAGAAGTACAAGAAAACATAGCACTCAAAGAAGTTCCCAACCATCAAGCTCTCTCCCTCCTCCACTGAAAAGGTTTCACAGGGGGACAACAACAAGCCTCTAGAAAGCAGATCATTTCAATGTTATTTAAAATATGTAGACAGACAACACAAAAGAAAACTTCCAAATTAGTTTTACGAAGTGCATTTCAAATTGATATACAATTAGGATTGCACAAGATAAAAGAAAATCAGATCCTGATCTCTTATAAATAATGAAGGAAAAATTCTAAATAAAAGTTGTCCCACAAATGCCAGTAGCATGTTAAGCAAAATACACAGGACCAGGTACAGTCTATTCCATGACTGTAAGGATGATTCCATACCCAAAATTCATTCACATTAAGTACTATATCTACATAGAAAAAGCAAATGGTCATTTCCTTCGATGCTGAAAAGAAAATTCAATCCTGTGACTGATTTAAAAAGAAAAAAAAAAGTCAGCAAAATAAAAATCAGTAAATTCTTTAATGTAATTACACACACACACACACACACACACACCAGCCCCAAAGCCAGTATCTTTTTTGATGGGAAGACACTAGAGGTAGTCCCACTCAAGTCAGGAATAAGACAAGGTACTTATTATTTCTGCAACTAGTTAACCACTTATCAGAGGTGTTAACCACTTATCAGAGGTATTAGCCACGGGCGCCTGGGTAGCTCATCAGTCCGTTAAGCGGTTAAGCGTCTGCCTTCAGCTCAGGTCATGACCCAGGAGCCTGAGACCAAGCCCTGCATCAGATTCCTACTCCCCAGGGAACTTGCTTCTTCATCTGCCTGCCAATCTCCCTGCTTATGCTCTCTCTTTCTCTCTCTGGCAAATAAATAAAATAAATCTTTTTTTTTAAAGAAGTATTAGCCAATTTGATTAAATAAGAGGAACAGTTAGAGACATAAGGACTAGAAATAAAGATATAAAGACTATAGTTATCCTTGTTAAATTGGTAAAATATAAAATCAATATAAATAAACAAGTAGTCTTCCTATATACAATCATCAACCAGTTAAGAAGATATTTGGAAGAGAACCCTCATTCACAACAGCAGCAGGAAGGAAGGAAGGAAGGAAGGAAAGAAAGAAAGAAAGAAAGAAAGAAAGAGATACTTGGGAATAAATTTAACAAATCTAACAAGAAATGTGCAAAGCCACAGACAAAAAAACTTTCCTAAATGAGTCAGCTATTCAAACATACTTTTAAATTAAAACATACAAATACTAAAAGAAAACATGGGTGAATTCCTTTAAAACCTGGAAGTGAAGTCAACCTTTTTAACTATGATTCAAAATCTAGAATCAATAAATACAGTTTGGTGAGGAATTTGAATACA